AGTAACGTTCACCTTGGAACCAAGAGGGGGCACTTCCCTGCCCACCCGCGCCCACGGCAGCCGGCTGCCCAGCTGTGCTGGAGGGACATCAGCCTCTGCAGAGAGGGTTGGGCACTGAGGAAAGCGTCCCCTCACGTTCAGTCCAGCCAGCGCGTCCCTAGCAACTACGCTGTGTGAGCACCTGCCACAGCCCTTGCAGAACTCTGGCAGCTGCGTTTGTGCAAAGCCTCCTGCCAGACTTAGGAACCTTAGCAGAAATTGGCGCCGCATTTAGTCCTCCCCTGGATTAGTCACCCGTGCAGGTGCTCCCTTCCCAGGGATCCACACTGCTGCAGGGTATTTCTGTTTACACCATTGTCATCGACCACAGGTAGACACACGATCCCAGTGGCTTAGCAGAGGCATCCCATGACCTCAGGGGGGAGCCACTGTCGAGCTACTATGTCAGCCCTTCTCCAAACTCTGAGCTACCTCTGGACATTTTCAATTACATAAACCAATTACCTTTACAGTGTAAACCAATCTGAGCTGGACTTTGTCCTTCTTGCAACCAACACCCTAACTTGGCGCAGAATGTAGTGCCAGGAAGTGGGTTGTTGCTAGTGACAGATCCTAAAATATCAAAATGGCTGAATTGACTTGGGGAAGGGGGTGGTGAGGAGGACCCTGTCTCTCGTGGGGAGGAAACTGGGGACCTTTGCTATATGTTGTGAATTACTGCGGTAGGCCAAATAATGGCCCCCAAAGATATTCGCGTCCTAATCCTGGAATCTGAGAATGCCTCAAGTGGCCAAAAGGAGTTTGCAGATTTGACTAAGCTAAGGCCCCTGGGATGGGTAGATCATCCTGTATTACTCGGTGGGCCTGCTGTAAGCAGAGGGTCCTCGTGAGGGGGATCGGGAGGAGTCAGAAGGACGGAAGACGATGTGATGACGGCTGCAGAGATTGGAGTGATGAGCTTTCACGACAGAGGAAGGGGGCTATGGGCCTCTAGAAGCAGAAAAACGCAATACACTGACTCTCCAGAAGGAACTAGCTTTGCTGACACCTCGACTTTAGCCCGGTGATGCTGATTTTGGACTTCTGCCCTCCAGAACTGTGGGAGAGGAAATCTGTGTTGTTTTCAGCCACCCAGTCTGCAATACTTTGCTAACAGCAGTCATAGGACACTAATACAGATATAACTGTCAGCTTTTTACCTTGGGGCATAGGCTCAGGGTCTACAGAGAGTGCAGCACCCCAAAACTTAGCAGGGAGACTTTGCCATGAAGAAGTGTGGTGGCTCAGTCTGTAAGGTCCTACGAGAGACATCCTAAGCCTGAAACTGGCCCATCTGAAAGCATAGAAGATAGAAAACACAGCTTTGCTTTCTGCCCCTCCAAGGTGGCCGAAAATCAGATCGTCTGCAGCTTAGCAGAGATAAAGAAAGCAAAACCTTTATCCCCAGCGAGGAGGCGGTGACTCAGCAAGAGAAACCCCTGGGGCGCAGCCCCTGCCCCAGGTCTCCCTCAAGCCTCCCCAGACACACCGTCTCCCCAACACAGGACATGCCCTCTTGTGGAGGGCAGGTGGGACGCAGTGTCCCCCACGTGGCACAGACTGTTTCACCACCGGAGGCTTCTGTTTCCAGTGTCCCCATGACAGACACCATTAAACTAAAGATGGATGGGGATATTTAGGCAGAGTATCGAGTCCTAATGCTAGAAGACAGAAATTTCTAGTTTAAATTCTACCAACAAGATAACAAGATAACGGTTCCTAGCCCTTGGAATCTACCAGAAACGAATTGACTGAAGCTTGTTAAAACTAGAATAGCTGTACTGCTAGAGAAATCCCAAGCTTGGGCGGCCACAGCTTGGCCTCTGGGATAACAGATCCCCAGGCCCCCAGCCACCTCCGTCAGGGTTTGAGCTGATAATGTCCTGAGGCTTCCAGGAAGGACATCTCCCAAGTCCCAGCTCAGAAGTGGCAGGTGGGGGCTGACCAAGGAGCCTTTGGGGACATCATCTCTCCGTCCAGCAGAACAGGACGCCCTTTCCCCTCTTCGAAGCAGGAGTTTTTATGCTAAGTAGACAACTCGGTCTGAGGTTGTTAGGCCATGAGAGGCTGCATCTGGCCTCAACAGAGAGGATATCACATCACTCAGATGTGCAGGACCTCAGTCGGAGTGAGACCTCCACTGGCTCCCTGTGGGTGTGGTCAACGTGGAGGTGAAGGGCGCATACAGATGTGGGGCAACTCAAGGGGTGACAGTGTGGGGAGCCACAGACCCCTCCAACCCCCTCAGGTCTCAGTGGGTTCTTTGGCTGGGCCTAGAAACCAAATGGACACCAGGCAGATAGGATGGACAAGAGAAAAGAACATGTTTTATTAGTTTTACATGTGCATGGGGGTCTTCACAAAACACTGGAGTCCAAAGAAGTGGCCAAAGCAAGACGCGTTCATACTTTTTAGACCAACAGTAATAAATTTGAGAAGAAATGACAGAGCAAAGAAAATCTGGCTAGAAGTAAATGTCCTCCCTGGAGAGGGAGGGGGAGGTGTGAAACAGTGGGAGATAAGGTTACTTGTCAAGAGTGTTTACTCAGGTCCACTGCAGCCTGATTCCTTCTAAGCCTCTGGTGATAAGGGCGATTTTCTCGATTTTCTCGTGCTGGTATGGAGAGGGCACCCCTCCCAGAGAAGTCTTTAATGCTTGCTGCATGCAGGGACAGGTCAGCCTGCCCTTTTTGAAACTACAATTTCTCCAATGTTTTTAACTAGAATTAATCAATTTACCAGTCTGGCACGTCTTTCATCTGCATTTTGCCTGGGCTGGCACTTGCTCAGCATGCTTGTCCCTCCTCCTTCTTTCTGTCCCTGTTTCTATCCCTCTCTATGTGTTGCACAAGTGCTGGGGGTAGCCCTGTAGCTCAGTGTCACATTCCTTTCTTCAGCTACAGTGATGGGTTTGCGACTGGCTGGGAGGGCTCAGAGTCTCCCTTGTGGCTGTGAGGCAGGAAGCCCCCAGCCCTAGGAGCTGGCAGGGGTGGGCATTTGGAGTTGAGGGCCTGGGCTGAGCCCTGCCCTTCTCTGGACTTTGCAGTTACATGAGCCAAATCATCCCTTTTACTGTTTGGTCAGAGCAAGTTACATCATCTGCACATTTCATCCCGGCCTTTTCTACCTTTCAAGCTTCCTCTTCCATCTCCTTCCAGCTGCCCTTGCTCTGGCCATGCTGACCTGCTCAGGGTTTCCCGAACCTCCATGCTCCCTCACGTGCTCACATCTACGCACCACCTTCCCTCTGCCAAAAATGCCCTCCGAGCCAAATCAGCTCAACAGATATTTACGGGGGGCCAGGCATTGCCAGGGTGCTTGAGTCACTGCTGAACTGAGCGGACAAGTCTGTGTCCAAAACCAATCTTAAACTTATGCTGCAAACATGCTCACTCCTCATCTTCACGTTTCTGCAGTGGTCCCAGCAATCCTTGCTTAGCTGGACCTTCCTGAGCTCTACAAGGAGAGGACCCCAGAAGAGTCCTTAGGGATCCAATAGGTTTTGCCAGGAATTCTCTGGAGACTCCCTGAGGCTGTGTAAGGACAAGATCCCAGGAGAGTTCCCAAAGCTAGGCAGCAAAGGAGTGCTGAGGATCCACTGAGGTCGTGTCTGGAAAGGATCACCAAAAATCCATTGAGAGTGCCCCAGGGAGGAGATTCTGTGACAAACGGGATCCCTGGAGAGTTCCTGTGGTTGTCATCCCTTTAACAAGCATTTATGGAAGGCTCACTGTGTCAGGTGCTGAGGCTGTCACTGAGGAAGAGATTAGAATAAGACAGAGATCTCGCCTTGCAGTATCTTACAAGCTAAGTGTGGACACATATAATCAAAATGCAGTCAGGGCAATGTTGCAACGTGTGTACAAGGAGCAGTGGAAGGCTGTGCTCTTAGAGACAGGGTATAACACTTGATGTTATGAGAGCTGAGAGAGCCACTAACTCCGCTCTGTGACAAGAGGGTAGAGTGTTGAAGGTATGGTTGGCATGTAATTCAGATAATGCATGTAAGATACCTTTGTATGATACCTTGCATATAGCAAGTACTAAATCAATGTTACCTATCATTAGTAAATGAAGAGGCACAGAAAACTCTTAATCAGAGAATATGTATAATCACATTTTGTTCTAAAAGTGAACTGGCAGTGGTTTGTCAAGGAGCTCCCTATAGTATACTGAAGCTCCAGCCTGAACAGTCTCTGGTCCCTTTTTCATCTAATATCCACAAAAATATAATGCAATCCACGTAAGTAATCTCAAGTTTTCTGGCAGCCACATTAATAAAAGAAATGTGAAAATAAGTTTAACAACACATTTTATTGAGCCTAATATATACTATAATTACTACAGAAATTGCTAATTTTTCATATAAAGTCTTCGGAATCCGTGTGTTTTCCACGCACAGCACACCTGGCTCAGACCAGCCACGTTCCAAGGGCGCGATGGCCGTTCGCGGCTGCAGCCCAGGCGACTTCCTCATGCCGCCGTGCTCGACCGCTCTCCCGGGAAGCCTGGCCTAGTCCCACTGCCCCTTGTTCCCTCGGGAGCGCTCCACGCCTCCTTGTAGTCATGTCTCTCACCTCACTGCACTGTGAACACCCGTCCACTGGTATTTACCGATCCCCGCGCAGCGCCGGCGATGCAGCCTCCATCTGGGATGTTTCGAGCTTCCGGGTCGCCCTGTCGTGGGTCGGGACGGCGTCTTGCTTCCTTTTGGTCTAAGCCGGCTCCCAAAAAGCGCTCAATAGAAGAAACCAGAGTCACAAACGAAGCCTGACGCGGTTTCAGAATTGCTGAGCTCGAGGCTCCAGCGGTTCCAGGGAGCCCACGGCCAGCAGCATAACTCAGACTGCAGGTCGGGCCCAGTGACGCGCGCGACGCGCGGCGTCGCCCTTTAATGCCGTCCGGCGCCCTGCGTAGCACGTCACATAGCACCTGGGACGGAGGCGGGACTTCCGGGCGTGCGCAGTCACAACTTCCGGAGGGAGGCGGAAGAGCCTTCAGGCTCTACGCTCGGGAGTACCGGGACCGCTGAGGGGCCACCCGGGGTACAGGAAAGGGCCGCTGGGAGCAGGCCGGCCGCACTCAGGGTGTCTGGGCCGCGAGTCTGAGGGATGAGGAGGGGCCATGGCCAGCGACGGGGCCAGGAAGCAATTCTGGAAGCGTAGCAACAGCAAGGTCCCAGGCAGGTGGGTGTGACAGGGAGGGCCGGGTCGGGGTCAGGGGTCAGAAGTCAGATGGCCGCGTCTGCCTGCTGGGCTGAGGGTGGAGTCGGGGTCTGGGAGGGTAATTTGGGCGCTGAGGAGACTGCTGGGCGGTGTGAGGGGTTGTTGGGGGGTCTGGAGGGTCCGAGTGTGGGATCTGGGAGGTGACAGAGGCTGCACGTAGGAGCGCGGGAGGAGCTGCTGGCAAGTTTTTCCAGAGACTGGCTGGCTCTCTTCTGAGAAGCTCCTAGGCTCCGCTGGGCAACTGAAAGGAACTGACATGGGTCATGCTGAGAAGTTTGGTGAAGTCAGGAAACTGGCGGGACCAGGCTGCGCCTGCTGGGGAGATCGGTTTCTGCAGGAGGTGTGGTGGTTTTGACCCACTTGATTTGCATTCTTGTCTCTCTTGGGGGCGGCTGCTTTTACCCTGAGCGTGGAAGAGGGTTAAAGGCTCCCTGTGAGTTTCCTTGCTTCCACTTTGTGGCCTCAAAACCAACTCCTATCTTGTGTCAGCATCAAGAAGCAAACTAAAAAAAAAAATTTTTTTTTAAATTAAGTGCCTGAAATGAGCTGGGTGTACCCTAGAAACTGTACAGGCTTGGCACTGAGCGCCAGCCAGAGCCCTAGGGAATGAGGAGATGTTACATGGAAAATACCTAGGATAAAATCAGCCACTGGTGAAACAGATTAGAGAAATGCAAACTTCCAGATTTCAAAACATAGTTCGTTCTGTCTTGAAGCTAAAGTCTAAGATACTGAAAAATAAGAATAGTGATATTAACATAATTCTAAGAATCATTCATAAGCACAGTAAAATGCTTTGTACTCCTGTGTTTCATAATGAACACTATTGCTTGTGGGTTAAAATTGTAAACTTTGGAATTCACTGCATCTAGTCAGAAAAGTTTACTTTTCAGAGTGATTTGGGAGTTGGCAGGAGTGAGTTACTAACTGCTCACAGTGACTTTGAAGAGAGTCATCAAAGGTGACCAAAGACCCTATTTTACACTTGATTGTGCTTGATTTAAGAACAATAAGAGCTTTCATCAAAACCAGTGTCAGGGTCCAGGATGAGGTGAGCATCCTGGAATGGTGGAGGGCAGGTGGTCCTGCTACTGACAGGAACAAATGCTCTAGAGTATAGAGTCCAGGGAAAAGGAGCTACATGACAGTGTAACTTTTATGTGTTGCTTTTAGATCTTGAGGTTTTGGTTCTCCATCAGTCTAAACTCTAATCAATTCTTAATCAACTGAGATGTGAGATTAATAGAGCTGCTGTGTGGAGTTACAACAGGGAATAAACTTTTGGATTGATGACTGTGGTTCTTGGTAATTTGTCCTTGCACTGGATTGAATAGTGTTCCACCCCGAAATTCAAGTCCATTCAGAACCTGTGAATGTGACCTTATTTGGAGATACGGTCCTTGCAGAAGTAATCGAGTTAAGATGAGGTCATGCTGGTTTAGAATGGGCCCTAATCCAATGACTGTTGTCTTTATAAGAAGAAGGGAATTTGGACACAGAGGGACAGACACAGGGAAGGCGGCCCTGTGAAGACAGAAGAGGAGATTGGGACAATGCACTTACAAGCTGAGGAAAGCCAGAGATTGCTGGCAGGCCACCAGCAACTAGAAGAGTCAAGGATAGATTAGGAAACTAATGCAGTCCCAACTTTGCTCTGTGAGATCCTGAATTACCAGTGACAGACTTTTCTTTTAATTTTGACGCTGTGCTGTGTCTTTAGCACTTTTGAGAGCAGCTGCCATGTTACACCTATAACGTTGGAGTGGAGTCTTGGAGAATTGTTAGAGGCCATCACTGAAGAGGGCAGGAGAAGGAAGGAAAGGTTGGGCCCACCAGAGAGGCCTGTACAGCCTCTATGTGTTTCCTCTCTATCCTGTGGTGCTTGCCTCTAGCAGTGCTATTTCAGGCGACAGGCTGAAACTCTTCCCTGAAGGAGGAGTTGCAAAGGTATGCCCTTTTCTCTATCAGCAGTGGTGGTCACTAGCCACGTACTTAGTCTTCCCCTACACAAGCACGGTGCTAGCAGAGGTCCTAGCCAGGTTGCTGTGCCTTTGCCAGCTCTTTCAACTGTTTCCCATGATTGTTTTATTCTTTTCTGAGTGCAGTCCTCAACCCAGGGAAACTCAGGAGGAAAGACTACACCCAGCACAAAATACAAGACTGTTAAAGGACCTTTTAGGTAGTTCAACCCTTAATTCCTTATGACAAACAATAACAGCTGATGTTCATTAAGCGCTCAGTATTTCCCCAGCACTATTCTTGGTGCCTACAGGTGTTATGTCTACCAGTGTTTTGTAATTTGCAAAGCACATGCTTCTTCCTCCAGCCGTGCTCACTGAGTTAGGCTTGGTTTAAAGCGCCTTGGTTGTTTCCCCCGAAATGCTGTGCTGAGAAGTGTAGTGTTTTTGCATGCTGCATAGGGCCCTGTGTAACCTGACTGCGGCTCCATTGTTTGGCTATGTCTCCTACCTGTCCCTGCTTTGAATTTTTCCCTCAGCAGTGCTGTTGGACTCGTAGGTTCCTTGTTACACCATGCTGTATGATGCCTCTATTACTGGAATGTTCCTTTTCTCCCTTTGGCCTAGCTTACCTTCTTCCTTTTTTTTTTTTTTAACTTTTCAAAATTCACCTCCAACATACCTCCTCGAAAAACATTGCCTGTTTTTATGCAGTCTGAACTAAAGTATTACCCTTTTATGCATCAAACTCAGTATTGTTGATATGTGCTTGTTTCCTTCACTAGTGAGCTCTGCCAGTTTAGGGAATGTGCCTTACTCACCTTTGCATTGCTAGTACTGATAAGTGGTGGTTGATCCAAACTGTCTTTCACGTTAGCCTGTAGAGAATAAATGATTTGGCCAAGGTTATATGCTGCACGAGAGGTGGTCTTACTAGTGGACCCCTCTGTTCTGTGTGTAGAGGGTTTTTGGTTTTCAGGTTGCATGTCTGGCTGATGCTTTCTTAGAAATTTCTTTTATGGATGAACCAGGATGTGTAGTACTATGGAAAGACTTAAGACTAGGAGTTGGGTGGTCCAGATTTTACCCTTCTCTTTCTAGTAATATCTGTGTGACATTAACCAAGTCATGTCACCCCCAGGGCCCTCGGTTTCTGTATTTGTTACATGAGAGGGTTGTGCTACACCTAAGTGGCTATGGTGAACAGGGGGGGATTTGTTTGGCCTGGCCTGATTCTCTTTGATGAGAAAAGAAGAGGCCTCTAGGATAAATTCTGTGAGTGTGATAATTTTTTCATCCAGCAAATATGTATTGAACCCATACTATGGAGTGGGAGAGCACAGTATAACTAAGTAGAGAGTTAACTATTGGAAGGTGATTGCTATAAAAATGTAACGCAGGGAAGAGGGATGGATAAGTTCAGGGGCAGGTGCGGTGGGGAGGGCTTCATGATGGTAAGGTGGCCAGGGAGCCCCTCACTGAGAAGGTGACATTTGAGGAAAGATTTGCAGGAGGTGAGGGACATCCCCTTGGTAGCTGGAGAAAAGCGGTCCAGGCAGAGGGGCAAGCAAGTGCACAGAGCCAGGCCTGGGCGTGGGGCTGGTGAGTCCGAGGAGAGAGCAAGGGGCCAGTGTGGCTATAGCCCAGGGAGGGGAGAGTCCCAGTGCATGAGGTCTGGAGGGTGGCGGGAGTAGGGTCTCGTGGTTGCAGTGAAGATGTGGACTGTTACTCCCTTTTTTTTCTTAATTTATTTTTCGAGGCAGGGTCTCACTCTGTTGCCCAGGCTGGAGGGCAGTGACTCGATCACAGCTCACTGCAGCCTCGAACTCTTTGGCTCAAGGGATCCTCCTGCCTCGGCCTCCTGAGTAGCTGGGACTACAGGCACATGCCACCATACCTGCCTAATTTTTCTAGTTTTTGTAGAGGCAGGGTCTTGCTGTGTTGCCCAGGCTGGTCTTGAATTCCTGGCCTCAAGTGGTCCTCCTGCTTCAGCCTCCCAAAGTGTTGAGATTATAGGCATGAGCCACTGTGCCTGGCCTGTTAGTCTTTTATTCTGAGTGAATGGGAAGCCTTTGGAGGGTTTGGAGCAGAGATGTGGCATGGGCTACCTTAGGTTTAACAGGATTACTTTGATAGACTGGAGGTGTCGGGTTGGGGGAAGGGCAGAAGCAGGGAGACCAGGTAGCGGGTGGCTGTAGCATCCAGGTGAGGATGGCATCCAGGTCACGGAGGTGGTGAGAAGCAGTAGGTAGGGGATAAGAATCAGGGAAGGTTCAGTCTCTGGCTTTGGGGGCCTGTTCTTTCTTGGGCCATTGGCGCAATTGGCTCCTGAAGGGCTTGCTTTCTGGGGTTGCAGTTGGAATTCTGGCCACACTTAACTTTAAATGCCAAGATAAAAATCACAGCACACTTGGTTTGAGAACACAGACAGCCTTTTAGTGTGGATCTGATGTTTGCTATTTTAGCTCAGCGCTGCCTGGCAGGGTATGCTCTGCTGACAGAAGGGTATGCAGGCAGCTGGGGTATGTGAAGGACGATATTTGAAAGTGGGATGGCAGCAAGAAAGGCCTAAATTGAGTATGGCAGGGCTGCGGGTTCTTTGGATAAAGCTGGAGCAGAGGAGGGTTCTCAGTGTCGTGGCTCTGACAGCTTTTAGTGTACACTGCCAGAGCCACTGGCATCTCTGAGCAAATGTGACAGTAAGCTCAGCAGGCCACCATCCGTCCTCAGCTGAAGGAGAGGAATTGTTGGGGGATAATGAATGCATTCAGAAAACAGTTATGAGCGCCTTCTCTGAGCCAGGTACTGTGCTGAGTGCCGAGCAAGCGGACGTGGCCCTCAGAGGCTAGAGGACCGTCGCAGGTGGGAGACGTGTAAGCCTGCCATGGGGGTGCAAGTGCAAGTGCAGAAGGCAGTAGTCTGGGGATGCTGGCAGGGTCGCAGGGTCCTGCGTGGGTAGAGTGGTCACATCTTCCTGGCCATGGAGCAGGAGCCAGGCTGGCT